CACGTCATCACTCATACACCAATAAGAGATAAGCTGTTATTTCAAAGATTTTTTCTATCACCTTTGATTATTTTTCCATTACGCAGGACATTAATTAATACGTCACATGGCATTTTTGAAGATATTAAAATTTTCTATTACATAAAAATCAGAATGTATGACACCAATAAAGTTGAGGAATTCCCTTCAGTTTACTAACCATTTTTGGTGCCACTGAGACAGACCTGCCCATCTAGTATGATTCTGATAGCCGTCACTGCTAACACCTTCCGACGACCACAAAATATGCCAAACTGTAGTCACATGAAGAAAAGTTTATAATTATAAAACGAACAAAACACTCGAAGCTATCCGTCATCAGCCAATGCCGACCAAGACCGATAGCCACTATAATGGAACCTTCGACCTGCATCAGTTGTGGACACTGCCCATTTATTAAAATTTGCTACTATACACATCACTTGTTCATAAGAATAATTATAGATACACATAACTCACAATTTCCTGTTAGATACAAATGATGCAAAACGATCATAACTGCAAGACCTTAGAAAACCTCTCCTCAATTGGCTATTTTATGACTCGAGCATCTCACAAACTAAAAATTTAGGATGAACACAATTTAACCGACAATCGGAAGTATAAAGGTAATTTTTCTGATCTCTTTACGTCCTGAAAGGTTGACAGGGCGAAAAGCAAGTTTTCGGATCCGAGATGTCCGTCCTTGTTACTATGGATGTATTTGCCTATTTTGGTCTACTCAGAACCCAATTAAACTGTATTCATATGAATCTACACAGGAAATAATTAGGAAAGACGAGTCAGATGGCTGTCAAGATCCAAGCCATGACATTTAGCTCTCCCAAAGCTTTGCATCCCTATGTCTGACCCCAAATTGGCGCACCCACAACACGGAGAATTCTTACACAGCGTTCTGACACTCCTATCTTACTTTTCTGGCCTTAGTCATCCAACTTCCTGAAACGCCTGTTAATTTCGGAGTTATCTTTCCGTCTTCGGTTTTCTACCTACCAAAAATAAAAGTTGGAAAGAGGACAACGGGCTTCACCCATGGGAAGTATGGGCTAGGCCCACTATTCCTTTCTCCAATATAAAAATAGATGCAGTTCCTACGGACGGAATCCTTTCCAAGCGGCAGATCTTGATTTTGACAGGCTACCGACTCAACCATTCGTCCAAGATGATTACCCAGTGCACTCTTTACCATCCACTTTTGTGCTAATCGATGGGGTATGACCCTGTACGGCTCCCAATTACAATAAAACAAAATTTTTACATACAGTCGATGATTTAATTTAACTGCAACTCCGGTTTCCGTCAAGGTCGAGCAGAAAAGCCCATCGACCTCCCACAAGAACCTATACCCGTCAAGGATGTTGTCGGTCCGCCGTAGTGGCAGGTCGTCGATGGTGATAGTTCATCGTCCATTGGAACATAACTTAAGGATGATAATAACCGACGACGGACAGAAGGCGTCCACGTTGCCACCCCATTCCCGTTCGCATCCTCCCAAGCGAAAAGCGTGCAAGCATGTGGTCGAGGAGGGAGCAGTAATTCCTGTAGACTGTCCTTTCACTACCCTCGAGTCCTTGGGTTATCATTCCACGACAAACTAATAATTGACTGGGTGGGTGATGTTATTAACCGCGGCCATCTTTCGGAAAAGTTTAGGCCTTTTGGCGTACTCGTCTAGAGGCATTTCGCTGCTTACCAACCCAGGCGGAGACCTACAAATGCGCTAATAAAAGAAGGTAGTGGTGAGATGGGCTGATCTGGGGAACAAGGGACTGAAGGTTATAGAAATGGAAAGTCAGCTAGTGAGCGTGAGAAAGGGCGCATGGGCTCCCGAGGAAGATATCCTCCTCCGGAGATGCGTCCTCCAATACGGTGAAGGGCAGTGGCATCTAATTCCAGAGAGGGCAGGTATGCCTTTACCTTATTCAATCATGTAAGTGGTAAGAGTCTTTATGGACTGCTACGTTGTTCAACTCGTAGCTCTTCTTTCCTGGAAATGAAGCAATTAAATCGGTTCTATACTCGCTTAAAAGTGGAAAGACTTATAGAGATGAGAGGAGTTTGTTTCCGTAGTCATGAACCAGTTTCTCCTGCCTGCCTTCTGAAAAATCCTCAGGTTTGAAGCGCTGCCGTAAGAGCTGCCGGCTGAGGTGGCTCAACTATCTGAAGCCGAGCATCAAACGAGGGGTCTTTCAGGAGGACGAAGTCGACCTCATCATTAGGCTCCACAGGCTCTTGGGTAACAGGTTTGTTATTATAGAAGACTTTCCTCAAGAATGAACTCCCATTCAACAACGTGGCTATGACTCGCATGTCAAGTTAAGCGTCCTTTACCTTTCAGGTGGTCGCTAATAGCAGGTAGAATTCCAGGCAGAACGGCGAACGACATCAAGAACTACTGGAACTCATGCTTATGCAAGAAGGTTGGAGTCCGAGGGGAGGTGGCCGGGAACATCAACAAAAGAAACACCGTTGACTCGGCTGTGGTCAAGTCCAAAGCCAGCGACTTGCCCCAAAAACAGTACCCATTAGGACGATCTAGGCCACCGCCTCGCCCAGCCCACTTCACAGAGGCTACCGGTGGTTCTTGCCATGAGATTTTCAGGCCTCAGCCTCGTACCTTGTCAGAGGGCACCATCTGCTTGCCGGAAATCATAGCATGCAATGAGTTTCTCCCCGGCGGGCAGTGCTTTCCCCCTAAAGATGATAGGCCCGAAAGCGAGCAAGATCCCATGGCGTGGACGAGGCTTCTGCTGGAAGACAACGAAAACGACGAGGGACAGCGACAACACGAGGAACGAGAAGAAAAAGTGGCTATCCCCGTTCGAGAGGAAGAAGACATACTCGATTGGATACCCCAGACAGATGGGGAGGTAGAACGAGGTTGGTGGCTTCTGGGTTGGGAGGACGTTCTCTGCGATACAAACCTAACGTCTGAGACCTGCCGGGGTTGATGCCGTTCCAACAGAGCGAGCTTTTTACGGTTTCCGGTGAACGTAGCTTGCACGCGCGTAATTTTCTTAGTCTTTTAGGGGCCAAAATGCACTGTAATATATTTATCAATCAAAATAATCTGGCCATTTTAATTTTGAAATTCACTTTTAGTAAGTCCAGATATTTGAAAATTATCTATAGTCCTTAGAATGATTCTTAGTAGACTAATGCAAAACTGAAAATCAGATTATAAGATCTTTTCCTTATTAAATTATCAACAGTGGACTTTTTTTTGCAACACTTTACTTTGCTACATGGGTAATAATGGTTTCCAACCTTATTTAAGTAATCAACATTGCAATACACACAAATTTATTTGAATATGAATTTATGCTTGAATAGTTCAGCACCAATAAAGGATTTATTCTTATGAAAATGATTTTAGTTGTCTAATTGTTGCCAATTATTTGTCATCTCAGATGTTCCCTTATAAATTATTGCAATACACACAACCTTATAAATTATTTTTATATCTTCCACTAAATATAAAAATTATTTTCCCTTCTATCACAGTAATTATTGAGTTTCACACATCTCCATTTCATATTATTCTGGCAACAAATCCTAAAACTTTGTGCAAAGTATTTCAAATAGAATAGCATGATATCTTCTTCTTAATATAACGTTTCTTCAATGTCTAAGACTATATGGATGTACATGCACACTCCAAGTCTGTTACCCACATGAGAAGGAACATAAGCAAGTGCACAAGTCATTTACTGTATTAGCACAATTGAATATAACTCTATATAAATGTAAACATATTCTTGCAACAATTAACCTAATTCGTTGTCATTTCATTTCGAGTTGGGCTTCCTTGCAACTTTTAGTTCTATTTCAACCAATACCACATCCACATTTAGTGTTATAATCATTTTTATAAAAAAGATGGATGACATTTGTCAATCGCAAGTGAAAAATGGAGAGTGAAAGAGATTGAGAATAATTCTCAATGTGTACAACCAGGGTTGAAAGTCTGTAATTGTCTCATGGTTGACAATAGTAGAAATGAATGTTCCAAACTATCTATTATATTTCTAGAAGGAGAAATTAGACAAAGGTGATTGACATGTACAATTCGGTGCAAGAAATATTAACATTATAGTTGAAATTCAGTGCAAATATTGAGCAGTTATTCAGTGCAAGAAATACAATTCAGTACAAGTCATTATAGTCGCAAATATTGAGCAATTATTCATTGGACACAAAACATATTTAGATATAATTCTATAATTGAAAATAAGTACGGTTGTCCATTCAGATTTAGAAATAATATTATGTTATTGACCATGCCATTCTGTATATCCATTTATCACATCAATAACAGTCTGGATTTCATCCTGAAATTTATTCAATTAACACTTATGACAGACTACACAATGCAACATGTGTCTAAGCACAGTACGTCTTGGATCTCATTTCTTATCTTTCATTATTCATATCATACTCAATAACAAAAATCTACTTTGATAGCACAATGTGTCAGACTTTGTGAATCCTTCATCCCTATCTGAAATTTGGATTGGAAGGTAACAGTCAAGAGGGAGAATGGTCACCTTTTCTTGCTCTACCCACAGATTTATACTAAGATTTTATGTTGAATTTAATATGAGATGAGATCAATGTGATCATATGGACGAGCATTAAAACCAAAGAAAATTGTCCTACCAAATTCCCGAGTCGCTGAAAAAGTATATGCCTAGTCAAATGAAATCAGGAGTCCTGCAATCCCTTCTCTCTTGACCAAGAATATGGTCCCTACTATTCTTATCTGAAATTAACTAATCCAAAAAAATTTAAGCTTGTTTGTATCTTGAGTTTAAGAATTCGTTACCATCCATGTATTAGGTTAATGAGATCCACTCCACAATTTTCTATCTTTTCACAATCAGCATACACTCTCATTGCCCTAATATAGCACCGGCCTCTGGAGGACGATAAAATTTCAGATGTTTAAATTAGATTAGGTTTGGGGGGGATAATATGCTTTTTAAAAACTCTCTTAATTGACACATGTGGATGATGCTGAATGTGTCTACATGGGTACTGTATCATTTTGAGCTTGTATCTAGTTCTTTAACTCTCAACTTGCAGCTCTATGTCACTTTTATCTTATTCCTATTACATTCTTGAAAAGATAATGATGCTGATTTTTAGCACAGATGAGTCAACTCTTTTTTTCTTGAAAGCTTAAGAATAGTAAGACGATACTTGTCAATGTGTTAATTTACAAAGCTAAGATTAACACTGAAAATATAATATTATTTTCGGTTAAATGACGATATTCAACCATAAGAATAATAAAAATAACACATTTATTTTTAATTATATTATTATGCATATATTTACAATTACATTATAGAACATATTTTGGCAAAAATATTATACTACCAATTTAACTATCAACATTTCCTATTAATAAATCTGAACATAAAATATTAATTGCCACCGAATCATAAGGCATTGATCAGCATTCTTTGATCTCACTTTCACTTGTAAATATATTACACTTGAAAATATACACAAAACATCATTTTTTTAATGCTTATGTGAGGTAGATTATCATTTTTAGACATTTATAACAAAAGTGAATGAATCACTCCCACCTGTAGTTTTCCTAATTTGTATAAGAAATAATGGACAGGCGGGAAACAGTTTCACAAGGACAGGATCACAAAGTTAATCCAATCACCATCACCATAGTCAAGTTTCTAAATATCGTGATATGACTTTAAGTTGATCCAGTAATTGGTAGCTAAACAACGGTAACCTAACAGTGAACTTAAAATGGAGTGATCCTCCGGTGGGATGCGGTTCTGTGAAAGTGAAATCACTCTAGCATTACCGCGGAAGACCCCAGAGAGCTCGTACGTATGACAGATCAGAGCAGTCACCGTCAGAATCAGTAACTATGTCACACGGCATCTGACGGGAAATTGCTTTACCAGTCACAAGCTGCATGCACTAGACGACTACGATAGCTTTCGGACAATTGGCCTCCTCGTTGGCCGAACCAGAAGGGACTGTGTTCTCCGGACCTCGTTGGCTTTGGAGTGGCATAAATCAGGCACGTGGCCGACCAAGTAATCTTTTGACGTGACAGATAGACGTGGCCAAGCTGCAATAAATGCGCCTGGGACCGTCTATACTTCAGAACACAGGAGTGAAAGATAGGACTAGCTAAGCTTTTGGAACCCTCGACCAACTTGATCGGATGAACACAAAGGAAAATCGGCACGTCGTTGACCCCGCCTTTTGCGCACGACGTAACTGTGTTCAACTTCACTCAGGGCCAAGAGAACTTACTTCAAAAGGAGCAGCGTATAGGCATTTAGCTTCAAACCAGCAATCTATCGAACTAATGGTAACACTGCGTTTGACGCCAATTGGAATGCAAGATTGTGCCATAGCTAACAGATGTGCTCATGTCCTAGTAATCAGTGGGTTTTGTTTTAAATTTGCTACTAGTGAAATAATTTGCAATTAATGTGAATAAATGTAATTATTACGGATTAGTACATTAATATCTTTCACTTCTCCAGTTAATAAGAGAATGATATTTTAAATTAGTGTTGTAAAATAAAAAGTATCTATAAATTATACCTATCAGTTAAGTAAAAAAATTTCTTTAAGTCACATTTTATAGTATATTTTTCTTGATATGATATCATGTCGCCCCACTTTTTTCATGTTCAAACCTGTATTTACATCATCACATATGAACCTGATAGGATCATCGGATCTAATCAAGAATTTTCTACTCAAGAAAGTTAACTTAATTCAATAAAAGATGATCAACCAGAGGCTTAACCATTGAGGTCAAGCCTTCCAAGAAGAAAGTGGAAGAATTAGAGTTCTTCCACCTCAAAGAGTTCAACTCCAAGTCAACCAATGACTTCTTCTTCTCTTGGATCCAACATGAAATATTAGATCTAGGACCAATAGATCCCTACCAGCAAGCAAGAGAATCCACCAACAAAGGATGGCCTAACAAGAAAAAGAAAGAGAAGAAGAAGAGGAAGAGGAGGTTACATCAACCTCATGCCCCTCCGCTTCTTAAGTGGAGTGCCGTTTCAACCAAGAGATGCCACATGACATCTCTTGGGAAAGGGTGTCTCCTTCACCCCTTTCCTCTCTTTCTCTCTCTATTTCATGGAGAAATACCCCTCTCCCTTTCTCCTCAATAAATTCTAAAACTCATGTTATATTTGGATAGTGATTTGTAAAATTAGTCATGAAGTTTATTTTACCTTCTTGGATTAGAAGGTCATCTCCTTCCCTACCTCCTCCCTTGGACTGAGGATTCCTCCCCTCCTTTCATTGCCTCTTGGACTAGGGGCTTCCTCTCTTCTTCTCGCCCTCTTGGATTAAGAGGACCTTTTTCTCTTCCTCTTCTCTCACATCATCTCCATCATCCATCCTGTTGCCAACCCTTCCTTCCCTCTCTCCTTGCCATCATTCCACCTCCTTGCTGTCTGCCCTGTCACTGCCATTCCACCTCCTCGTCAACAGCCTCGTCGTTGTTGTTCTGCCTCCTTGTCATCCGCTTCATCGCCGCCATTCCACCTCCTCGCCAGCAGCCTCATCGCCATCATTCCGCCTCCTCATCATCCACCCCATCGCTGTCATTCCGCCTCCTTACCATCTACCTTGTCACTACTGTTCTTCTTCCTCACTCGCCCCGTCGTTGCCATTCCTCTTCCTTGCTGTCCACCCCGTCGCCAGCCTGCCATTTCCACTAGACCCCCTTCCGGCCATCCTCTCATCGCGAAACCCTCTTCCTTTCTCTCTCCCACTGTCACCATCTACTGACTTTTAGCCTCCCGTCCCGACGAAACCCCTTCTCTCTCTCTCTCCCACCAACGCTCTCATTCGCCTCCTTTTTCTCTCTTCCTTTTTAGTTATTATTTAATTATTCTCCTTGATTCTTGTTAGCATGAGAGCTCTCTCATTTTCTCTC